GTCTATTTTTATTTTTTATTCTGTGTTGTATTTAAAATGTGGCTAGAAAAGGAGGGAATGGGATGAGGAGGGTTTGTTTTAAACGTTGGCTGCCACCTTAATTGCAGCCTAGCAATGAATGGCTGCAGGCTTTCTTGGACAGCTCCTCCATGAATGTCACACACAAATCCATCTGACACCTGGGGTCAGAAGTATTCTTCCGTGCTTTTTGTTAAGTCATCTTTCCCACTTTTGTGCCAGAGGGTCTGGCTAAATTGAATTGCATTTAAATGAGGTGAGTGTGTGATGGATCATCCGAGTGCTGTTGTTTCCCTCCAAGTTTTGTGACAAATCTCTCTAATGCAAACACAGTGTCTCATACCTTGAACACACTGCTGCAATTAAATACTCATCCTTTAAGCCTTATCTGGAAAATATAGTAATAGCAGTCCTGTGTGTTTGCACAGAAAAGGAGAGGTGTGCACACAGCAGATGCTGGCAGAGCTCTGGTAATTCAGTTTGCAGGGGTCACAGTCACATTGGAGACACCAGCAGTGACATTAGCATGTGAAAAATTAGCACAAAATTCAGTTTGCAGGGGTCACAGTCACATTGGAGACACCAGCAGTGACATTAGCATGTCCAGACCTTCGGTGCAAGCTCTCCAGGAATTAGAGCATGTACTGTGATGCCTTCACTGCTGTGTCAGCTGAGCTGTGACACCACCACAGATTTTATCAGCTTATTGTACAACTAAATGCAAATACAATGAGTCAAAGAAGGGTGCTGACCAAACCCTGAATTCCCCCTAAAACTGAGTTTTGGCTGAGTGATCAGCAAGATATGACTGACACTGGAATGAGTCTGCAGGGCACACAGCTCGGTGATTAGTCAGTTCTCATTACCTCTTCCTCCAATTTACGTCAGCAAATCAGTGCTCCTGAATCAATGAGGACCTCAGGAGAAACTGATCTTCCCCAAAATGCTGCCAGATGTCAGCAGAAGCTGCAATCCCCTCGCCTTGATGGTTCTGTACTTTTAACACACATAATTAACTGTTAACACCATCCTGTTTTTGTCATTCCAGACCTTCACCCGTGCTCTGCTGATAAATGCTGTTAGTTTAGCCGTGATGGAGGAGTCTGTGCCCAGCTCTGCTGCCTCATGCTCCTGCACTTCATCTCCTCCTCATTTCCATGCTCATCCCAGCCAAGCAGCAGCCCAGCCTGAGATCCCTTTTGTTACAGCTTCATCACTCCATTTGGCTCTTCCTCCCTCCTCCTTGCTGTCTTTGCAGTTTTCCTCCAACAGCATTTGGCTTTTATGGTCAGTCTCTGGAAGTGGAATATGAGTTAATTTTCCCCATACTTTCCAAGATGCTATAGGGAATATTTTTATATATTTTTGGTATCTACAGGCTGGGGAGGAAGTTTACTTGTCCTAGTGTCCTTTATTACAAAGGTGTTATTTTTTCCTCTTTTATTTTTTCCCCTGTGACTTGTCAGGAATAATTAAATGCTGTGATTGCTTTGGCCTCCTTTCAATGGGCATTTACCCAGCTCATAAATACAAGAGTAGCTCCCCTGAAATCTGCTTCCACTCAGGTAGAATTGTGAAGGTTTGCTCCGTGATGCTCTGAGGAAAATGAGGAACCCAGATGGCCTTAAGTTTGGGAGTTGGTTGTTCTCTAAAACCCAAATAGTGTTGCTCAGATCAACTAAGATTTGCTTATTAACATTAAAAATACATCAATCCCCAGGTATTTTCACAGTTCCCTTTGCTCCCAAATTAGCATGGGCAGTACTGCTGTCCAAAATAAATGAACTGTGTGAAGACAGACAGTTTAAAGGCATTGAGGAATTTCAGACCTTTTACATCTCACTCAGCTTTCACCTAATTTGTTAATGGGTATGTTTTTCCCTGTGGGAAAATAAAGCTTTTCTCTCTGACATTTTATAAAGGACCTACTAAACTTTCTTCTGTCCCTTTGGGTAAAATCAGTTGAATTGGCTTTTCTGGTGCCTTTCTGTTTTCCCTAGAGAATCTGAGTTGGTTCTTAACCCTTTCTGCCCCCCAGGCCTTATGAACAGTATGACAGAAACCCTTAGATACCTTAGAAGTCTAGACACAATGTGGGCAGCTATAGGTTCACTAGGGAGAAGCTTATTACTATGTAAAAAAAATTAGATATCTAGGTCAAGAGAAGAACATTTGCTCATTTTAGGTGTGAGATAAAATAGAAGGTTGTGGAAGGATGCAACACTGCTGGGAATTTCTGGATCTCCTGAGGCACCAGAGAACAGGATGTGTCCTCACACCTAAGGGTTTGTGAACATTTCCAAGTCTCCAGCCACTTGGGACACAGGTGTGTGTCACCACCAGGGATGGCAAACTGAGGACCTTGGTGTGACACTCATTGCTCCAGGGAGGTGGACACATCCCTTGTGAAACCTCAGACAAAATACTTCCATATTAACCTACTCTGTGGTGGCAAGAGCAGCTGGGATGGCTCCTGGGCTCTTTGATTTATCCAGACAGGCTAGCAGGGGGTTTGCTGCATGAAGTTTGTCACAGCCTGACACAGGCTGTTCCCGGGATGCCTGGCAGAGCTCAATCCATGTCCTTCCCTGGCTGCAGAGGAAAAGGTGCTGAGCCAGCCCTGCAGGCTGCTCCAGCCTGGGATACCTGATCCTCAGGCTGAAAGAGCCCTTGGAGCACCAGGTCTGTCTGACTCTCCATTTCTTTCTTTTCTCCCCATCTCTCACTTCATATTGTTTGTTGTCCATCCTGTGATGCTTCAGGTGCTGAGGAGGGACACGTTGTGTTGGTGTTGCCAAGGTTTTGTCTTTGTAAAGGAAAACATCTTCATTGCATAAGTATTGATGAAGACTATTCATTTAAAATCTGCCGTAGATTAATGTAGAACAGCATAAATACAAGCTGGTGCTGTGAATGATGAATGGGAGAAAAGGATTTGGACTGTCACTGTTCTACCACACAGGGAGTGTTTTACAGGAGATAAACTGTTTTCTGTGACATTTCTGCATTTGCTTTACTTAACAATAACTGTTAACTGTCCACTCTCAAAAAATCATCTTCTGCTAGGATGCCACCAAGGAAGAAGAAGAAAATTTGGAACTTGCTTTGAAATAGCACTTTCATGGGAATTCAAGCATGGTTATTCTTGTGCTGCTTGGAAAGCTGATTTTCTGTCCAGCTTCCCTGTGATCCCTTTAGCTCTATCTGATACCAAAGGCTTGAGATCTCTAGATTAGGAATTAAATTCCACCTCTGTGGCCCAGACCTGATGATCTGCTGCAGTCACAGCAAATAGGTTTTCCTTTACAGTGTGTGCTTCCAGCTAAAACTGTTGCTTTTTGGCCAAAAAAAAAAAAAATTAAAAGAAAGATAATTAAAGCCATGTGATGCAGGTGTAGGAATAATAATTGACTTGAAATTGAGTAGGGATTATTCAGAGTGATGGCAGGCCCTGATCTTGCAGGGATTTAGGTGCTTGTTTTGTTCTGCTGGCATGTGTGAGTACACAGGATGGTCCTGTCCTGGGGGATTTAGGGGAGGCTGTGGCATGGCCAGGAGCAGCTGGGACAGCTGGGTGGGATGCACCACTTGCAGCATCAGGCAGCAATTCCTGCTGCTGAATTGGGTGTAAACCACAACATTTCAGGGGTGGACAGGTCTGGTTTGGTTGTCTGGTACAGGAACAGCAGCCTGGGAGGGCAGGAGAGGGATTTTCCCATTGCAATTTCTATTTTACTTTGCAAATGTGAAAACTGGGAGTGACTGGTGTCAGGCCTGTGCTGGGAGCTGGGGACTGAAGAGCCTCAAGGGAAACTGGCAGAAATCTTGATTTAAGTGTCAACACCCTGAAGATGTCAGTCATTGGGTTGGGCACTCAGCTGTCTGTGTGTCTCTAATTGTGCTGCTCATATTCTGAATGTGGTGAAACTGAACAGTACAGTTTTAAACCAAATTTTGGGCTTTTCAGTGCTCTGTTACAATGATGAAATCCAGAAATGGAAGGTGACTAGTTTATAAATAAATATTTTTTTCCAGTGAACACTGAAACAGTTTCAAAAAATTCACTTAATTAGCAGGATTTTCAGCAGTACAAAATGTGACCATCTCAATTTAATAACAGCATATCTACATTTTGCTAGTGTGGGGATTATGTGGAGACTGGTGGTAGCCCGATGGATTTTCATCCTGCACACTTACAATGTCATGGTTTAGATTGTTATTCTCTTATTATGAGCTTTTACTCTTGCAAGAATTTCCAGTGTCATTTCTGCTGGCAGTATTTGCTTAGGACAGATTTATTTTTGTTCCCTTAGAGACGAATTGGATCAAACATCTTTTTCCATATAGCTCAAGTTTCCACAATGGAGTTACTCCTAGTTGACTACTCTGAAAAGAAAATTGTAGTAATTTTTGTGACTAGCAGCAGTTGAAATGTTTTTTGGCATGTGTGCATATAATCTATTAATTTCCACTTCCTGTCAATTGCAGGGATTCATGGTTATAAATAGTATAAAAAATTTTAATGCAAATAAAGAGAGAGAAAATCTAGCATTGGTCTTTTTTTTTTTTTTTTCCTAGCTGGATTCAGTGAGGTGTTGAAACATGCAGGGCATTTGTTTCAGGCTTTGATAAGGATCTCTCTCATTCTTATATAAAATGCTAAATTAACAATAATCAGCCCCCATGACTTACAGCCCTGCTCAGCACATAGCTTGCCTTTCTCTTGGGCTTCCTCTGAACCTGCAGATCTGAGGGCCTTTTCCCTGTGATCTGAGAAAGCAAAATTCCTGACAAAACTAATGACTTGGGGCTCCTGTGGAATTTTAAAACCTTTTCTTTTTCCCCATGAGTGGCTGCCTAATGTGAGTGGGATTTCAGTGGCTTTTTAAAAATCTGCATTATTTCCTCCCTGCAGTCAGGACATTCAGCACTGGCTGCTTGGCACAGTGGTGGCTCTCCAGTGAGGTTTTCCACCAGGTTTCTCAATCCACACAACTGAGATAATTTATTGCCTTACATTTTGGGTAATGGTATCTGACATGGGATGTTAAAGCATTTTCAGGTCCTTTATGCTGTGGTGTTGTGGCAAATCTGTAAGATGTGAAGGACCAGACACATCTGAGCTGGTAGGAAGTGGAATATTCTCAGCTGAAATCCTTCAGAGCAGTGACCACCCAGCAAGGAAATCAACTCTGAATCCTGGAAGGAGGAAGAAGAGAAAGTTCTCAGTCATAGAATCAGAGTATCCTGTGTTGGAAGGGACACACAAAGATCATGAGTCTGACTGCTGGCCCTGCACAGACACCCCAACAATTCCACTCTGTGCCTTAGAGTGTGTTCCAAACCTCCTGGAGCTCTGGCAGCCTTGGGGCTGTGCCCATTCCCTGGAGAGCCTGGGCAGTGCCCAGCACCTCTGGGGGAAGAACCTTTCCCTGATATCCAACCTAAACCTGCCCTGGCACAGCTCCAGCTGTTCCCTCGGGTCCTGTCACTGGTCACAGAGTGCAGAGATCGGTGCCTGTCCCTTCTCTAGCTGTAGCAGCTGGATTTGCACTCTCTGCTCTTCCATTGCAGCTCCACTCCTGGCAGGAGGGACAGCTCTCTCCCTCCAACGCCCTTCCCCAGCTCGTGGCTCCAATCTTTATCTATTGGCAGGACCCTCACCCACTGTGAAGCAGCAAATCCCATTCCTGGGAGGTCATGGTTTGCTTCTGATGCCAGCTGGAACACTACTGTGGACAAAAGCAGTTAAACATCTGCAGAATCTGCTGCTGCTGAGCCATGCCACCACTGCTGGAATGAATATTAATATTAGGAAGATTTGGCCTTACATTTCCACCTTGGAAGTGCAGGGGGGGATGCTGCCTTTGGCTGGATCATGTGCTGCTCTCAGCAGTGGAGTGACCGGCCAGGATGTGCTGAGCCAGGGAAGCTCCGGGATGAAGCAGCAAAACGCTCCTGGCCACCTGATGGCCGGTCACCCATTCCAAGTGTCCGGCCACACACACCCCCTGGTCACCCCTCTGGGCTCTCACCTCCCAGGCAAGGGCACAGCTTCCATCAATCAGCATCCACCTCATGCCGCTGCCTTTGTTTGCTGCGGAGAGTTTGGGAATGCAGCGGGATTGCAGCTGAGTGCCATGCATGGCTGGCCAGGAGGGGATGCTGAGCTCTCCCGGCAGCTCCATGCAAATCCTTCTTTGATACCGAGTGCTGCAGAGCGGGTGATTTCTCAAAGATGCTGTGGGACAAACAAACAAATTGCTTGCTCTGAGCAACGGGGCCTGGAAGTCAAACCAGGCTCCTCATTGCCAGAGGTCAGAAGAAATGATGGGAGGGTGTGTGCAAAGCCCCGGGGTGATGCCAGCCTCCCTGCTGGGATAATTCCCTTCTGCCGGCTGCAGCCGGACCCTGGGGATACCTGAGCAGCACCAGAACTTCCCCACAACCACCGCTGGCTCAGCCGTCCTGCTGAGCCCAAAACTCTGCATTTCCTTGTGTTTTCCCCAGTGTGTTTGGGATTCCGGGAAGCTGAGAGTTAATATCAGTCCCCCAGCGATGGAGCTGGACGGGTGCCCGCGGTGGCTTCTTGGGCTGTTTCGCTGTCCCCAAGTAACTGACAGAGCAACATTTTCCATCCCCGTGGGTACCCACAGAGCCGTGGCCAGCCGCTGAGCTCCGGCAGGGGAAAGAAATCCGCCCTTTGAGCACTTTGAGAAGGATCCACGTCAGAGGGAAGAAGCACTTGGGGCTCTAAGAAGTCAGAGCTGAAAAAAATCCAGTTAATCTCCCTCCCTGCAGACTCCACAGCTTGCTGGCATGTCACTGAATAAGCCCCTGGTATGTCTGTGCTGCAGGCAGGGCTGCCGGGCAGTTTTAAGACATTTAAGGGAAATTGAGGGACAAGCCCTATAGGTCGTGAGGAGGTGTCTGGTCTCTTTCATGTCCTGGAGGAGGCTTTGGGGTGTGCTCTGTCTGCTTGCCTTGGGCCCCTGGAATCCCACACCTGTGCCAGCTCCGGGAAAGGGGGTGGAGAGGGAATGGTGGGAACTGGGGGGCTGTGCCCGGTGAGTCTGGGCAGTGGGATCCCTGCCTGGGGAGAATGGTCCCCACACATCCCTGGGGAGACCTGCGTGTGGGAGGTTAATTCCCATGCTTGGGTGGGGTTGGCGTGGATGGACCTGTGTTCCCTGCGTGTGGGAAACCTGGATAAGAGGATCCCTACCTCGGGTAGGTCTGGGTGGGGGATCCCTGTCCGTGGGTGGGGTATGGTGGGGAGATCCCTGTCTGGGGGAACTCGGGGTGGGTGATCCCTGGGAATCCCTGCTTGGTGGAAGTCTAGGAAGGCGATCCTCAGGAACAGGTGAGGGATTGCAGCATGGGGGAGCTGGGGGGTGCTGGGATCCCCGTGTGGGGGGAGCCTGGGTGGGGGATCCCTGGGAATCCTCGTGTGGGGAGAGTCTTGGTGAAGGATCCCTGGGAATCCTCGTGTGGGGAGAGTCTTGGTGAAGGATCCCTGGGGATCCTCGTGTGGGGAGAGTCTTGGTGAAGGATCCCTGGGAATCCTCGTGTGGGGAGAGTCTTGGTGAAGGATCCCTGGGAATCCTTGTGTGGGGAGAGTCTCAGTGAGGGTTCCCGGGGATCTCTGTGTAAAGGAGTCTGGGTGGGTGATCCCTGGGGATCCTCCTGTAGGGAGAGTCTCGGTGGGTGATCCCTGGGGGTCTCTTTGTGAGGGAGCTTGGATGGATGATCCCTGCGTGGGGAGAGTCTCTGTGGGTGATCCCCGGGGATGTCCCTGTGAGGGAGTCTGGGTGGGTGATTCCCGTGTGAGGGAGTCTGGGTGGGTGCTCCCTGCGTGGGGAGAGCCTGGTTGGGTGATTCCCGGGGATCCCCGCGTGGTGTGGGCGAACCTCAGGACGAGGTGCGGGATCCCCACGTGTGGAGCTCGGGGGGCGATCCCCGAGCGCACGGGCGATGCACCCACCCCCGCGGCACCGCCGGGCGGGCGCTCCCCGCTGCCGGGGCTCGCCGTGCCGTGCCGGGCAGGGCCGGGCGGTGCCGGGGGCTCCCGGCCGGGGCGGTGCCGGTGCCTTTAACGCGCGGGGGGGCGGCCGCAGGCGCGGCGGACGTGCGGGGCCGCCTCCTCCCCTTCCTGCCGCCCGCGCCGCGCAGCACCGGCCGCTCCCGCTCCGTCCCCGCAGCCCCGGCCCGGCACGGCCCTGCCCTGCCCGCCGCCGTCTCGGTGAGTCCCGCCCGGGGGGCGCCGCGGGCCGCAGCGGGGCCGGGCCCTCCCGGCGTGGGGCGGCGGGCCCAGGCCGCGGCGGGCCCGGGGCTGCGGCCCGGCCGGGGGCGGCGGGGGGGGTGGTCCGGGCGCGGCCCCGCGGCGGGGAGAGGCCGCTGCTGTGGGGCCGGTGGGGTTTGGGGGGCTCCGGTGATTCCCGAGAGCATCTCCGCGGAGCCGGGTGGAGCGGGGCAAGCACGCCGTGTCCGCGGTGCTCCCGGGGCTGCCGCGTTAAGCCACTCGCCGAGGGGCGAGATCTGACGGCCGAAATGCGATCTCGGAGCGTTCCCCGTGGCTGTCCGAGCCCCGGGTGAGGTTTGGCGAGAGGCGGCTGCTGCAGCGCCCGGGTGGCTGTAGGAGCTTTAATGAGCATTGCGCTTCATGACCGCGGTCTGGGCCGCCTTGGGTGCCCGTGCTGGGGTCAGATGCTCGCAAATGCTGCTTCCCCACCCTCGTAGGGGATGTTGTCAGTGGTGTTTCATTTGTACAGCCCCGGTACGGGTTGTGTGCAGCTCTGTTAACCCTGGAATTGTTCATGCCCCTGTCACCTCTCCTCTACTCACGGCTGACTCCCTTCTTCCAGCATGTAAGTTATGGAGAAGGAATGAGGAGTTAAGGTGGGAAAGCTGCACCTTTTGTACCCGGCTGCCTTCAGTTGATGAAGTATTTTAATTGAGTAGGTGGTTATTAAGAATAACGTAGCTTCGCTTCTTTTCTGCATTAGACAGTGACAAGTTCTGCTCTCCAGTGATGTGCATCCACCCGTGTGCTTTAGATTTGTCATTTTATGACCTTTTTTCCCCCACATCCCCACTAAGGCAGTGCTGTGTATTTTGAGGTCACTGTTAGAAAACCTCAAAGATATTTCTCACTTTGTGGAAGAGGGAGCTCACAGGAGCTGAGCTGATACCCTTCGGTAGCCTCTTTTCTGTTTAAAATTCTCCCTTTTTTCCCCGGGTTCCTTTAGTGTTTGTGTTGCTGCCTCTGCCCACCAACACAAATGACATTTAGTTGACATGACTATCCTATTTAACACGTCTTTACCTGTGACAAGGCAAAAATCTCTCACTGGGCAGTCCGAACTGGTTGCTGCAAAAGTTGAGAAGGGATTCAGTTCCTATGCTCTAGCTCCTTTCAGATGTTTTTCCTTGCCTTTTCTCTCTGTGGATCACTATCATCCTCCTGTTTGGCTTGGGCTGGAAGTGTTTCTCTGCCTCGTGGACCTCTTGCCTGTAACTGCGCTGTAATTTCTGCCCGCGAACAGGCCATGCAACTCGCTTTACCACATATTTTTTCTCTTGCCTCATATGCTGATGCTGCTTTCTGCATACTGTGATTAAAATAACTTTCGTGTGTAACTGCAGCAGTGAAAGGTTGGGGATTGGAAAGAAACACTAATTCCCTGGTAGAGTTATTACCAAATACCTTTTTTGGTAGGTTTTTTTCTTTCCACCCCCTTTTCTAGCTGCTCTCGGGAAGATGCTTTCTGCTCTCAGAAATAGCAGCAGCAGGATCTGAAGGGCACAGTGAGATTTTGATTTTATCCTTTATCCCCTGTCACAGACCTGATGACTACTTTGTTTCTGAAACTCCTTGAAGAAAAGGGAAGGACTTACTCAAGCCTGTGTAAAGCTGTGGTGTTGCTTGGTTAGCTCTGTAACAGCTTTCATTTGCGTCATCTGCTTTTGCTGTTGGAGATTTGGTGGTTATGGCTTGAAAATGTCTAATCATTCTTGACCCTGGGTGCTGTAAACCTAAGGCTAAAAAAAAATCCCTTAGGAACTGGAATTCCCTGTGAATTTCAGAGGTGATGGCCAGGTCTGTGTTAAGCTACACCCGAGACCCTAAAGTGTGAGGACACAGGAGACAGGACATGTGTTTTATTTTAAGCATCAAACTCGGTTGCTCCTAATCCCTTCCTGTGCTGCTGCCAAGGCACCCACCTCTCACCATTGACTTTGTGAGGCTTCAGCTCCCAAGTTTAGTTCCCTGGTCATACCCCAGTGATGTGCCTGAGTAAATAGTGTGAGTGCCCCCTGTGCTGTCCTGCAGGGATGGGGAGGAAGCGGAAGGCACAGAGTGGCAGGAGGCAATAATTCTTCATCCTGCTCTTCACTCCAAAAGCTGTGCCAGCAACCCAAATCAAGTTTAGTTTCCCTGTTTTTAGCACCCATCCACGCTGTGCATGCCTTTCATAACACAACTGCTTCCAAGGTGAAACTTGATTGGTTTATTCTTTCTCCATCTCCACAGGAGAGCTGTTGGAGAACCTCCTTGAAGCCTCAAGCATTTGCTGAGTTTCCATCCTCACAGTGCTCGTGGCCTGCTTGTGTAATTTGGTTTTGGTTCTAGTGTTTCCATTTGGTTTAAATGATTGTTTTCCCTCCCTGATGTAATTAGAGCAGTCGGATCCCCTCTTGACCCCTTGTTTTCATAGGTTAAACAAGTCGAAGTCTTTAAGTCTCCTTGAGTTGTTGTCTTATTGATGTTCTCAGGATTTCCTTGTCAGCGACAACCTTTTGCCTTTACCCATCAGAGCCTTTTTAATATAAAGGGAATTTTATGCATCTGTGTTTAGCTCTTAAACTTCCTGCTCTGCATTGGCAAAGCAGCAGGATTGGGCTATTTTTAAAAATAGGAATATTTTGGAGGGGACTGATTGCTGCACGAAGCTCACAAACTTTTTGACATTCCTGGGGTGATTGTTTCAGGCTAATGAGACAAGGAGTTGCTGGGCTAAATCTGTCCCAGACAAATCACTTCTTGTTAATGATTGTGCATAAACTGTGCAGATGATAAATTGGAGAATTACCAGCCCATGACTCCTAGGAATCTGCTTCTCCTCTCATTGTTATACAAGATGTCCAAGCAAATAAAACACATGGGGACTTTAAAAAAAAAAAAAAAAGTATTTATTTATGTTTTTAGAAATGTAAAAGCTTCTTCCTGTTCGCATGCCTGAACTACAGCTGGTGGCAGGAGAGAGGGTACTTGGGAGCTTTGAAAACTTCCTATTTCTTGCCAGAATGGAGCCTTTAAAGTATTTTCTTACAATGTGGACTCTCTGGCACTTTTTCCAGGCTGATGCCTGTGGTCTGCAGTTTGGGAATACATCTGTTCCTGCTGGCATGGGCACTGCCTCAGAGTCTGATTCCTGCCTTTTTTTTTTTTTTTTTTTTTGCCCCATTTCCAGTGATTTCAGAGCAGGAGCAGCAGCCCTTTCATGGATAAGCACCGTGCATTGATCTGGACTCTGCTGCTTCCAGCTGAGGAATTGTTTTTTACCTGGTGGATGGAAGAAGCAGAGTGGATCCAGGTGCTGCTCTGAGATAATGCCCAGGCATCTGTAATTCCTGCCATTCCTCTGCAAAGGGGTCTTTTTCCCCTCTTTGTGGGAGAGCACCTGGGATGGATTCCCTGTGTGTGAACTCGTCCTCTCCTGGTCACTGCCATGCCTGTGTACAGGACTGCTGCATCTAATTAGATTATATTAGAATGAATAAGTGAATCTCAATAAATGAGCTTACAGGGGCACTGCTGGGTCAGCTCAGTCCCTAAATATAGGTCTTGGGCAGAGGGCAGGCTTGGTGCAGGATCTCTCCATAAAGCAAAATTAAGCAGAGATCTCCTGGGAGTGCATAAATTCTGCTGCCTTGGCCATCTTGTCAGCCTAGATGCTCCAGTGTCTCAGTAAAAGAAATACCAAAGTCCACCCAAATACGAAGATTCTTTAATTGAAGCTTGGGTGTGGAGTTGGAAGGGGAAGTCATAGCAGTGGAAATTCTAATAATCTGAGGTGCTAAAGAATGCAAATCTCATGATCCTTTTTAATGCTTCCAATTTAACTAGAGGTGAGGGTTTTTTTAAAAGTCTCTTAGATACTGTAAAAAAAACAGGGAAAAAGAGGAATGGTGTCCAGTACATTAAAACTCTGGAAGCAATCTCTAACAAATAAAGAACATTATCTCCTTGCCACTCTGTGGTGCAGAGAAGTAGTTTGGGTGCTTCAAGCCTTGAGTTTTGCTGTGGAATGAGTGTGGGGTGGGAGGGAGAGGGACGGGAGCTGAAAGGTTTGTGGGGCAATCAAGAGTTATTTCTTTGCAGCTCTCCTCCTCCTTCTCTGCAATGGTCTGTTTTTGTCTGTGCTTTGTGACCACCCTGCTTACCAAAATCCACAGCTGTAAATTGCTGTTACTGAAGAGAAGTAAAAGTAGTTTCTTCCCTTTTACTTCTCATGCAGGTTTATTTAGAGGAATAGCATTTTTTCTGTTTCAGATGAAAGCTCATCTTTGCTTGTGCATCACTGGAGCTGCATTGTAACTCGGAGAAAGTGTCTGTAAATCAGTCATGTAGACAAGCTACTCCTTTTGTTTTACTAATAATCCTTATTATAAATAGTGTTGACCTCTGCTTGCATTTACAGCTCTTTGCTCTCAGGTGTGCAGGATTTTCAGTGGTAATGAAACACAGGGAACAGCTCTTCTTGCAGGGTTTTTTTCTCTTTTTCCATTGGACACCCTTCTGGCTGATCCCTCTGCCTGGCTTCCTTGTCTGGATCTGCTCACAGCCAGGCAATCCTGCAAATCACTGCTCTGCTGGAGCTGCTGCATCACAGCTCCCCTGCTGCAGGAAGCATCTTTAAACCCTTTTATGCTGTGAAGTTGAGGAAATAGAGCAAAACTCCTGTTTTCCTTCAAGTTGCAGTTGAATGACTAATGGAGGAGCATCAGAGGAGGCTCTTTTTCTCTCAGAAGAGGTTTGTTGATGTTATCCAGCAAAACACAAAAGTTGTGATTTTGGGATTGCACCTATTAGTTGAATAGGTGACCTTCTCAGCCTGCCTGTCTGGTGTCCAGCTCGCCGAGCATGTGTTGAATGACCCAGGGAAAATCAAGCTGGAGTTCAGAATTACGTGGGTGTCAAAGGCTCTTAAAGCCTGGTATATTTATGCCTGTGATTCATGGTGCTTCCAAAAACAATCCAACTCTCATTCCTGCAGAGGGGAAGTACCTTCGTCCAGTGTTACCAACTTTTGCTTAGCTGCCAGGACAGTATAAACTCAGCCTGAGTTATTTTGGGCTCCTTATTCTTTGGCTTCCAAATCCCACCCTGCAAGTTCTTGTAGAAGGAATGTTGGCTTAATTCTGTTTTACACTCTCCCTTATGGCCTGAAAACGGTAAGCAGGGTATTTTATTTCAGGGTTGTGACAAATTTTAGTACATCTCGTTCCTTTCTGTGGTGTGAAAAGGTGTCTTTTGTCTGCCTGCTACTACACAGGAAGGAAGTTGTTGAGTCTGGGAGATAAAAGCTTTATCTCCTCCCTGCAAGGGACAAGCTGCCCACTCCTAGGCTGGTACCACTCTACTCTGTCCTGCCTGTAGTAGGGCAGAGGGGAAGATTTTCATGGGAAAATGTGAGTGGACTCAGAATCTGTTTGTCAGTGTGTAGCTGTCAAGGAAGATGATGACTAAGCTATTGCACAAGGTGCAGCTCTTCAGGGAACTTGCCAGGATTGGACTGGATCATGACTGACTCATAAGAGAGCCTATAATATCAGTCTGCTCCTAATTTCATTATTACTGGTTTGATCTGACCACTGGCCATGACTGCTTTTTGTTCCCAGGCAGTTTGCTGTGGGGTTTTAAGTTGGAAAGTCTACACTTGATGACAAATTAAAAAGTCCAATTTCTTGGAGGAAGTGAATGGTTCCCAGGCCTTGGGTGAGAAGTGCTGTGTGGCAGGAGTGTTTAAGCTGATGTCTGGCTCACATGGGTGTTTCTCCATCAAGCACCTGCCCTGTGCCCTGGTTGCCAGGCTCTGGCATGACACTTACCTGCCCATTTCACAGAAGGGAAAGCACAAGCCAAGCAGCTGCAGCTGAAGATGCCAGGAGGTCACCAGCAGAGCTGCTGGTGGTGCCTTTTTCTTGGTCCCATCTGTGACTTGAACCCCTGGCAGTCAGCTGGTGGGTGAGCTGCATTGTCAGATAGTGACAGGACAAGGGGGAATGGATTTCAACAAAGAGAGGAGATATTTAGATTGGATATTAGAAAGGAATTGTTCCCTTTGAGGGTGGTGAAGCACTGGCATGGTTGCCCGGAGCAGCTATGGCTGTCCCTGGATCCCTGGAAGTGTTCCAGGCCAGATTGGACAGGGTTTGGAGGAACCTGGGAGGGTTGCTCCATGGCAGAGGGTTGGAATGGGATGATCTTTAAGCTCCCTTCCAACCCAAAC